AAAAAAGTTTAAACTTTAAATGGTTTGTAAAGTAGCAATTTTCTAAATGAAATATGTATTTGTACCAGTAAAGAAGATCCACTTCTGTTAAAGGTAAAGACTTTTTTATTTCACTTGAATACAAAATGCAGCAATTATGGATTGATGGTAAAACATTTAGTCTACTAGTAAAAACTAATAATAATTTAAAGGTTTTTAAAATTAATGAATTTACAAAATAAATAAAAAAATACGAAGAATGGTATTATTGAGGGTGTTCGGTTTCTAAGTACTCTCCTAGAAATCAGGACATTGAGGAGGTAAAACTTTTTTATGCAAATATCTTCACTTGACAGCTCACGATCCTCTGAGACAAAAATAAAAGTTCGGTCATCTAACATTTGTTTAGGGGTTTTTATGGCACAAATCCTTTACTTTCTATGCTTGTAAAATTAGCAAATTTATTGTATTTGGGCATAATAGCATGTGTTTTTAATGCATCTCTTGACTCTGAAGAGCTACTACTTTGAACAAAACTACTCTTCCCGGAAAAACTAAAGTAAAAAGCGAAATAATACTAAATACAACTGTTTTGTAGAATATTTGACGGTGTAGAACTTTTGTAAACAAACGGACAGATATATAAGGAGTTATAGACAAATTTTTTTTAATTTTTGAAAATGCGTCGAAATCAAATTCATTACTATAAAGGGGTAAAACTAATTTTATTTTTCATCTTTAATTTCACTTTCATGTAACATTCTTTTATACAATAAGAGAGGTGATATGGTAGCAACAGATTTCGCATGTCGAGCTGATTAAAGCGAACTTCTTCATGGCAGGAAAGCGTAATTAAATTATACCGATTTTGATGAAATATTATGTCATTTATTTGATGATGGGATATGTCCAACATCGTGAACTGAGGTATTTTACGGCCTGCCTGATTTCACATTCTTTATCATTCTTGAAATATGTATTTGGGTAACAGGTTAATTTGAAATCTTATACATAAGCTACGTCTGATTAGCATTAGAATAAACCTAACTTTCGGGAGAAATCAGATTTCAGCAATTTAAACACATGTAGTTTTGTTTTAAATAAACAAGGGAAATATTGAAGAGTTAATCCGGTAATATGTTAAATATTTCGTAAAAATTTTAAGTTTAAAAAACAATTCCAACTGACGTTTACTGAGAAAAGTAATCCAAAACATAAAAGTGAAAACTTTGTATTTCTTTTAAAATATATTGTTTAGATAACATAAATTTATATTAATGCGATATACATATGTATAAGCTTCAGTAAAACTTTATTTTGAGACGATTTGGATGTGAAACAAACTCCTTAGTTTCTGAAAAATGTATTGCGAATACTGCTCAGCAGAACGGTTTATTCTGAGTCCAAAGTAAATTGCAAATGTTGTAATAGCACAAAGATCAGGAAATAATTTGGCTATCATGAACAATTATAATTAAATATTGCATAGCTGGTATAGTTACCCCTACAAGATGTAGTACCATTTTGTAAATAGCGGTTACAAAGCTTCTTGCTTTAGGCAAAAACCTACCTAATGCCTTTTGTCCCATATCTTTTTTGAAGTATCCGTACTTTTTGACACCTGAGAAGTAGCTATATATATATAATGCAAAATAGGATAGTTTTTGAAGAGTTATACGAAATATGAATAAAATATAGAATTATAAAGGGAAATTCAAGGCGCTGCGTAGCCTGGGTAGAGTGGTAGCCTGATAACCATAAGGTTATTAGATCGATGCTTGCCTGGATATTGTTGTATTTTTCTTTTTCTTGGATTATTTTAATTTTTTTTTTTTATTTTCTTTAAATTTTGTGTTTTATTTTTTTTTAATATATAACAGATAAATATAATTAAAAAAGTTTAAGAAAAATTTTCAAAAAAATACTGTTATAACAGTTTGGAAAAATCTTAAATACATAAGCATGCATGTATATTTTTTTAGAGTTTCCTAACGACTTTTTTGTAAGCTTCCTATATGAATTGAATATTATTCAAAACTGTGGCTAAATCATGGAGGTAAACATACAGAAATAAATTTTTCAAATAAAGAAAAGGTTTAGGCATAAACAAAATAATATTTTTATTCAAATATATGTACAATGTACATATGTATGTATTAGAATTGAACATTTTAAAATTTTTCGTTCGCAAAATAAGAAATAAAATTTTGAGTACAAACATACATAATTATGAATTTACACCTACTTTTTTAAAGTTTCTAACGAAACTTAATATTCAAAACTGTGATGAACTTATAGAATTAAATTTTTCAAATAAAGAAAAGGTTTAGGCAAAAATAAAATAATAATTTTATTTAAATATATGTATGTACATATGAATGTATTAGAATTTAGCATTTTAGAGTTTTTCGCTCGAACAATAAAAATGAAATTTTAAGTGCATCTATGTAAATAAATTGTGTCTGTATATTTTTTTAAAGTTTGCTGGCTAAGCATAATATTTAAAACAATAACAAATGGAGTATTAGTAAACAGATGCCACAAAACATCTGATGTCTTTGATAGAAGCTGACATTTATTTATGCTTATTCCGATTTTTCAAACTAAAAATATGTGCATCATTTTCAAATATTATTTATTTCTTTGTTTGTGATTCTAATAATATAAAATATAAAAGAATAACGTGCTTTTGTTACAAAAAAATTTTTCAGAAATTCTTAAAATAGGGCTATTTCGAGGCTAAAAAGTTCCAATGTCAGATTTTTCTTTGCCTTTTGTGCCATGTCTGTAGCTTTTCTAGAAGTACCCATACTTTTTGACACCTGAGAAGTAGCTATGTATATATACATAATTATCAAAAATTTTTGCTTTGAACTTGGATCATGTGACTTTGCTAGTTTTATGTTTTATTTGCAAAATAGATTTCACGGTAATAAACCGGTCCCCCCTCAATTTTCAAGCATCATGGGTGTTTTTCAAATTTTAACGGTTTATAGATGTCAATAAATTTTTTATTTTCTTTTAATTTCTGTCTTACTTACTCTCGTTTCGAGTTTCTTTCCCAAAGATTGAAAAACTTGACCTTCTTCAACAACAATCAAGATAGAAAGATATAATTTTGTCAGAAATTGAACTGTAAAATATAATTTTTCTTTTTATGTATGATTTAAAATTTTAACGTACCACGAACGGTCCCTTCGCAATTATCGTTCATAAAGTTACTATGATCAAACTAAAATCACTTATAAATTATATTAACGCAGAAAAGTCGGGAACTGCTTTTTCTATTATAAACAAGTGTAAACTAAGAGGATTTTTATAAATTTAGATATGCTCTTAAAGTTTTAACTTAAATTTTAAAAAAAATTTTTTTCATCAGTATTGATCTACAGGAACTCCATGTCAATGCTTTTATAATATAAAGTGTTAAATTATATTATAATAATTATAAAGTTGGATCAAACCAATGATTTGTAAAGTTGCACTTTTCTCTTCCACGAATGAAAATATAATCCAGCTATTAACATACGTACAAGTTAATTCAAATTAATTTTATTTATGTACAGCCCTATCACGAGTTCCATTCGTAGTTAAAATACGTAATAAAATTCTCCTCCCAATATTTGTAATAGAGTAATCATAAATTACGTTCGTAGTAAAAATACAAAAGTCTACGAAAGAAATAATTACACGTAACAAGCAATTTAAAGAGAACGGTCATTTTAAGTTTTCAAGTATTGATTTTTTTTAGGTTTTTCAAATATTTGTTTTTAGTTTGAGTTTGAGTTCCTATAACACAACTACAATACAGGGTAATTAATTCATATTATGAATTAATTATATTAAACTCCGTTTTATAAAAGCATTCTCTTTATGAAAGTAGTGTGCTCAAATAGCAACAAAAAACATAAATAAACATTTGATTTGACAGTTTAAATAAAATACTGATTACGAAAGGAATTTGTGATCATTCAAAAATCTACGTCGTAGCTAAGTTCGCAATTCGTAGAATTCTACGAGTGGAATTCATCCAAAGGTTGAATAAATTTAAGATGATGTAAAATAAAATTGACAGAGCTATTAGCATAATAGTTGAATTTAAGATTTAATTGTGTTAGTTAAGAAAAACAATTATATTTTTTGCAGGCATCACATTTACCGTTAGCTTTCTGCATTTACAGAAATTTGAAAAAGGTTGCAGTTTCGGAAATATAAGATGTCAAAAATTCAAGAGGCGATAACTTAAGGGGTGGAGATGGAAAAAAATTTTCTGCTTAAATTTCAGTCCTACGACTTACGGTCTAGAAGAGAAACGAAAACAAAACTTCCAAAAAAGCAGGTTTTAGTTAACGGTTAATTTTAACAACCAATTTACTTTCTTAGTATTTAATTTTGTTGTGCAGCGGTAAAAAAAGCCCGATTTTACTTTTTTCCATTAACAAAATTTGGAAAATGTTTATTCTACGGAAGTAGGTTTCTAATGAAGTACATTTCAGCTTTCTATCTTCAAGAGTGTATAAGTTTTGGGACTGATGGAGTGAAACTAAAAAGCGCCTTTTTTCATTTTTTTTTTCTGAAAAAGTGGCAAAAATAAAAAATCTATTCAAAATATAAAAAAGCTATCATAAATAAAGGAAATTAAAGTAAAACAAAAGAAGTTGTGAAATTTTATTGGTAATCATTATAAAAGAAAGTATTAAAAAAAATTAAAAAGAAATTAACTAATGAATAGTGCACAATGGAATTAAACTTAAAATATATTTATTATGTTTCTATGTATAAAAATTACTTGATAATAAAACTCTAATAAATTAATATAAATTAATTTCTAAACATTATATTAAAATTAAAAATATAACAACTGAAAAAATATAAATAAAGTAAACTACAATTAAATATTACGAAATCTTTTTACATACATACATACATCCTAAATAGATTTCATAGCTGAGCAACTTTAATAAAATACTTTGAAATATAATAACTATAAAAATTTGGTAAAGTAGTTATTTATATTTAACCTTGTTATTCTTCTTCTTTCCAAAAAACTAGGTGAACCGCGCCGACGTGGAATTGAAGGTGATCTTGAGTGATTTCTACTACGACTTCTTGACCGAGATAAACTGCTGGAACATCTGAAATGCAGTACAAAAAAACAGATAAAATCAAATTTCACATATAATTGTCTTTTTTTTTGAGAATATAAATGAATAGTTTGTGTTTGTATCACTTTACTTATGCACATTTAGGTTAGAAACATTTAGGTTAGGTTGTTTTTTGGAAATACAAGCATTCGAATTTTAGAAGAACTGCAATTTCCCTGATATTTCATTTGTTAACCTTTTTTTGTCCCGACAATTTTTCATGAAACTTTTTTGAAACTTCCATAATGATTTTTACAGAATTTAAGGTAGTTTCTTAAGCTTTAATTTAAGTCATTAAAATTTAATTTCTTTTTCGGTATACGACATATAGCAAAAGAAACCATTTGAAATTCAAAATTTTAAAGACTTTAATAAAAAGTTTAATTCGAAAAATTATCACTATTTTTGATTTGCCGCAAATTAAGTACAATCTAGAATAGAACTGGGTTATCAAAGATACCTTCAGTGATATATGCAAGATAGGGATGAGTTATCAAAGTATGAAGAAATAACATCAGTAACATGATCAACCGGGACCTATTTGATCATCTTTGAAACAGACAATCCCGAGAACAAAGAAATTCCAAATTGGATGACAAAATGATCTTGTTATCATTTTGAAAAAAAAATGAGCCTCATTCTAGTTGTTGAAGTAGAGCGACAATTGTCGTTACGACTTGAATTTGATATTCTAAGCGACGATCGCAGTGACAATCGTCGGGGAATAGCGGGAAAATGTGTTTCAGCCATATTCCAGTTGTCGTTTTGATGCGAGATATGTCGTAGTGAAACGACGTTTTTTGTCGAAAAGTATTTACAAGTGACAAGAAAGAAGGATTTACCAAAAATGCAAGTTAAAACAAAACAATTTAACAAAATCATAAAAAAATTAATTTTATATATAAATCAAGTCATAAGATATATAATTAAATTTTGGTTTTTACCGTGAAAGTATTTATAAATTTGAAGAATTGGAAATTTCATGACAGGGCACGCTTTTTACGGGTACTCGTTTTTTCCTCGAATATATTCAGTAAATATACAAAGGCCTCCTTTGGAAGTCTGTAATAGTTTATATATCTGTGAATAAAATAAAACGTTTGGAACTAATTTACTAGAAAAAATTTGGCAAATCCAATGGATTAGAGCCGTCGCTAATCTTAAATCTTTCAATCCTCAATTGTTGTTTTTTTTTTTTAATTTCATCTCTACAGGAATGAGATGAATTCGTAAACTATAATGCAAATTACTTTTTTTACTATTTAAAAATATAAATATATATACTGAAAATTTTTTGTAGTTTGAACTTTACTCGCCGAAATTTCTTTTTAAAATGTATCAATTTCACTTTAAACGTTTCATTTTCGATTATTTCTCGCACTCACGTCACTCGACAACCAGAATACCCCATTTCAAATGATGTGACAGCGACAACGACAAATGTCACGTAAGTGACGCGACAACTAGAATAAGTCTCAATGTTTTGTTAGAAAAAACGAAATATGTATGTACATATTAAAATTTATCAATTAAATATTATTTTATATTTAGTTAAAATTGTTGTAAAACTATTTCAATTTTTTGGAGATGCTTTTAAAGTACGCGGAGAGAAGTGAAAGAAGAATTTTGAGGATATTGTTTAAGAATTATTTCACCGTCACTAAAAAATGAGAAGTATGAGTATAATCGGAAAGTAATCAAAAATATGCATCAATCCAACGTCGATACAAAAAAATGTTGCTGATGCCATCGGTGTAGCATCAGCAACATTTTTTTGTTGCTGTAAAGCGTGTATCAAAAATGTCAAAATAATATTGCATCTTGCTGATGCAATATTATTTTGATTTTTTTGGACGCTTTCTAAATCATAAATTTTTTGACGTTTATTTTGAAAAGATTTTGTTTAATTAAAATTATTAGCAAATGAAAATCTATTTAAAAAAAATTTTTAAATTCAATTAAATTTTGGTAATTTTAATATAATGGAATATTTAAAAATATTAATACTGTATGTAAAAAACGAATTAACTTTATTAGTTATTGAGTTAAAATAATAAATTATTTACTCCTCAGCTTTTGTGTTGATGCAAAACTTTGCATCAATACAAAATCAAAAAAAAAAAATTGATGCACCGTTGATTTAATATAATGCGTATACGATGCGTATTTTTGACATTTTTCGACACCAAATATTTAAAGTATTACCGTATTAATGCATTTTCATACATGATTTTTAGGTGATTACTGATCGATTACTTTACGATTATACCCTATGCATTCCGTATTGTCAAAAAGGAAGACTGGAAACCGTCTTCAATTATATTTAAACTCATAACTAAAATTCTTCTTTCGGGATACAAATTTTGGTTCATTAACTGTTATACTTCTAGATAGTTTTTATGAAATTCCTGTGACATTCAAACCGTCTCAAAACAAAGCTTTAAAAAAAATTTTAAATTTCATGAAAAATGTTCAGCTTTTCGATTTAAATTTTCAATGCATACTATAATGTTTTGAAAGTTTAAGTAAAGTATACTCAAATTTTTAAATGCACGGTTTGCTTTTATTTTGCGTTTACTAAACATTTTGGATAAGTGGACATTATAAACATAATTTTCAGTTTAAAACTTGGATCATAAATTTCATAAGTTTGAGTTTTACTTGCAATTTGGATGTCACAGTTCTTTATTACCCCCATCGTTAAAATTACTAGTCAATTGACAATTTTCTTCTTTAATTAAAACTAGTCGTGTGTGCTTGCATTGCAAGCCTTGCAAGTATTATGCCTGGAGTTTTGAAATTGTGTTCCATTCTGTGTGTGATGTATTTTGAGTTTACTTTTTTCCTCTTCAAAAACACACCCGTAATTTACAAATAAATATGTTTTTTTCCTAATATTTTATAAGATAAAACTTAAAATAAGGAAAGCTCTTAAAACTAATTAAGAAAAAGTACATAATTAAACAAATAATTAGTTCCTTTGAGACCTAATATCTTTTAGTAATTTATTTTAGAACCTCGCTTTAAGTTATGTCGCATAAAATCGTAAAATACCTTTAACAATAAGCACTTTAAGCGATAAATTACTGTATACGCATGAAATAACTTGCTACTAAAATTCATTTGGAGTTTATAATACATGCGAATAAAACGCGTGACTGTAGAATGAGTTAACATCAATACTAATATATAGGGTAATACGTAGAGCATACGATTTCTATGCAAAAAGTCCCAGGTTCGAACCCTGAAAAATGCGATTTGCCAGATGAAATTTTTTTTAATTGATAATTTTATTTTTTTTTAAATGAAATTAGAAAAGCTTCACACTTACAAATCAATATCATCGAATTTCCGTTCCAAATATTTTTTTGTAAATAGCTTACTTGTAAAAAGTTTAATGCAATAGAATAACATTTTCTTATAAAATTTTACCCTAAAAATATATTGTCAAGAAGCTTAATGTACACTTACATATGCATTGCTTACTAATACATTTTGCAACAGATCGCGAAAAGAATGCATAACTAAATGCATACGTACATAATTATTACAAAACAATGTAGATTTTATTAAAACATTACAATTTTCTTAAAAAAGTGATCACTTTTTGTTATAACTCACACTTCCAAATATGAATTTACATACATACAATTTTTATACCACCAAAATTAAATAAAATATTACCCCTGAAGGATGTAGTACCATTTTGTAAAAAACGGTTACAAAGCATCTTGGGAGGGGGTAAAGAGGGAGGGCGGGTGGAATTCTTGCTTTTTCTGGGACTCTAGAGGTAAAATCCTATCTAATGCCTTTTGTCCCATGTCTCTAGCCCTTCTAGAAGTACCCGTACTTTTTGGTACCTGAGAAGTAGCTATATATATATAATGTAAAATATGATGGTTTTTGATGAGTTATGCGAAATATGAATAAAATATAGAATTATAAAGGAAAATTCAAGGTACTGCGTAGCCTAGTGGTTAGCGTGGTAGTCTCATAGCCAGGAGGTTATTGGATCATTTTTGGATTATTTTAAAATTTTTTTTTTATTTTGTTTAAATTTTGTGTTTTATTCTTATGTTATTATAAAAGTTTAAAGAAAATTTCCAAAAAAATATTCTTATAATAGTTTGGAAAAATTCGCAAAAATTTTAAGTACATAAATATGTATGTATGTATATCTTTTTTTAAAGCTTCCTGAGTAATTTTTTTTAAGCTTTCTATATGAATATAATAATATTCAAAACTGTAGAATATATAAAAATAAATTTTAAACGCATAATTATTAAATCATGGGGGTAAACATACAAAAATTAATTTTTCAAATAAAGAAAAGGTTTAGTCAAAACTAAATAATAATTTTATTCAAATATATGTATGTATGTATATATGAATATATGTGTGTATGTATATATGAATGTTTTAGAATTGAAGATTTTAAAATTTTTCTTTCCAACAAATGAACGTATGTACATATGAATGTATTAGAATCGAAAATTTTGAAATTTTGCTGTTGGAACAATTAGAAATAAAATTATTAATACAAACATACATAATTATGAATGGAGACCTGTTTTTTTCAAACTGTGAGTGAACATATAGGATTGAATTTTCCAAATAAAGAAAAGGTTTAGTCAAAAACAAAATAATAATTTTATTCAAATATATGTATGTATGTATATATGAATATTTGTATGTATGTATATATGAATGTTTTAGAATTGAAGATTTTAAAATTTTTCTTTCCAACAAATGAACGTATGTACATATGAATGTATTGGAATCGAAAATTTTGCTGTTGGAACAATTAGAAATAAAATTATTAATACAAACATACATAATTATGAATGGATACCTGTTTTTTTAAAACTGTGGGTGAACATATAGGATTGAATTTTCCAAATAAAGAAAAAGGTTTAGTCAAAAACAAAATAATAATTTTATTCAATTATATGTATGTATGTATATATGAATGGATTACAATTTAGCATTTTACAGTTTTTCGCTTGGAACAATAAAAATAAAATTCTAACTACATAATATTCAAAACAATAACAAATGAAGCATTAATATTCATTTGCCACAAAACATCTGATGTCTTTTATAAAATCTGACATTTATTTAAGTTTATTTCGATTTTTCGAACTTAAAATATATGTAAGATCATTATATTTTCGCATATTATTTATTTCTCGTTCTCGGTTTGTGTTTCTAATAATAAAAAGTATCATTCTTCTAGCAGTACCCGTACTTTTTGCCACCTGAGAAGTAGCTATATATATAATATAAATTAACATATGGTAAATATCTTACGAAACGCATCAAGAAGTTTTTTAATACACTTTGCTGGAAAATGCGTTTTCTACAATTCGGAACGCGTAATATTGTAAAGTACTAGAGGTACAATACGTCGTGAGTTTGCGTTTATTTTTACCATGCTGTTGTTTGTGATTATAAATATTTACAGCACTACTGATTTTTAAAGCATATGATTTCACTAACGTTACGTACCGTGATGAACTGCGACTGTAACTATGAGAGGTACGGCCAGAAGAATATGAATAGTTGGATCGTGAACTGTTAGCACTACTCTCTGTGGAATACCTAGAAAAGTAAATTTATTTAAAAATTTTCACTGAAAAGTCCAATAAAGTTAGTTTTTTCTAACCTAGATTTTGAACGACTGTAAGATGACGAAGGTTTAACATTAACATCTAATAATTTCTCTTTATTAGAATCATTTAGTTCTCTTAACTCAGTTGTTGTTGGTTCACCTGCTTGTAGTTTATCAGATACTTTTATGTTTTCGTCAACAGTTTGCGAATTGGATTGGAAAAGCTCTCCAGAATTCTTAGCTTCTTTCATGTGAAATGTTGATAAATTGGAGTAATAGCCTTTTCTAGATTCAGGCGAAGATGAAATTCCAGATATGAATTTATTAACACTTGGTACAGTAAAAAAAGTTTTGTTTGACACTTTTTCAATACTTTTAATTTTTTCTCTTGCTTTTATGGCAATATTATTTTTTAATTCATTTAAAAGTTCAAAATCATTCAATTTCTTCTCTTTATATTCGTCTACCATTATTGCATTAACATAAGAATCTAAATCTTTTCCACTAATTGTGTTTTCATTGTAATTATCATAGCGTCTGTCGTTTCCATTATATTTTGCGCTCTTGATCCCTTCTAATGACGTTGTTGCTACCTTCGTAGAATGCAAATGTTTTTGGCTTTTGCAATTGACATCATTGTTATATAAATTTAAAGAATTTGATTTTTTTTCTTTTTCTTCGTAAAACTCTAAGCAAGCGATATTGTTCATTTTATTATATTGGCTTCTGCCAATTGTTTGGAACTCATTAAACGCATTTTCGTCATTAAAACTTGTTGAAACTCGCATATTTAAATTGTCAGGAGCAGAAACACTACAAGTTTTATAATTTTTACGCGAATTACATAGTGCTTTTATCTCAGTGGAATTTATAGTTTTATTTTCAAATTTTTGGTGTTTACCAAAATATTTAACCTCATTTAAAGAAGTTTGAAATGAAATATTGGTTTTAGATTCAGAATTTATACAATTTACACTTAAAATAGGGGATCTTTGTGATGATGGTGATCTTGACAACTTGTAGGGCTGCGTGTTCAATCCAATGTTTGGTTTCTCGTCGACCTTTATGTTATTCAAAAGCACTGGAGTTAATTTTCCATCACATCTATCATCCGGCGAGCTAATATATTTTTCATAATCCTTTTTTTTCTTATTTGTAACGGAAAGCTCTTTTGATTTTCTGCATCCGTCCTCTTTAATATTTTCTAAAACTTTTTTTGAAGGTGAACTTCTAAAATTTGCCAAAATATAAGAACTTTATTAAAAAATTAGAAAAAAATCCATACATTTGCATATTCGATAAAATTATATATATTCATATCATTTACCTATATAAACATATACTAAAATTGTTTGCAAATAATATTAAAGCTAAACATCCTTACCTAACGTAATGCAAACCAATAAAACCTCAATTGAGTTTTATATATGTCCCTCCAATTGCTACATATATGTTAAGCAATGAAAAATAAAGGAATGAACTATCAGCTCACTTTTTAAAATCAAAATAAAATTAATACCCGTACAATAAAATCAAGTGAAAATGATATTTGATATTATCCATAAAATTCAGTTTAAAATACTCAATATTTATTTAAACTTTAATATGTAGATATTCACATTTTCTAAAAAAAATTTAAATTCTATATATGTGTGCAACGTATGTAAAAAAGTTCTATTGTACATACGAGTATATATGTATGTATATACATGTATGTATGTAAAAAATTAGGAATTATTAAAGTCAAATATTTAAATATCATATTTGAAACTTAGGATTTTGCAACGAAAAGGTTTCAACATATAATCAAACCATATCTTGTGATGTGAAACCTGCGGTGTGGCAAAAAATTTATTGAAAGTGAATTTATCTTAATTAGGAATGTAAGGAACTACCCTGAGTAACCTCCTTGCATATTAGAACACAACGAGTCACTTTCAAACTTTGTTTCTATCTCTTTCTCTTTTAAACTACCGCAGTTTGTGAATGAACAATTAGAAAATATATAAAAAAAGTGTTAAAAAAAGACTATTGTTTTATAGAAACTTACATATAAAATAAATACAACAAAAGGAAAAAAGAACAAATTATTTTGGAAAAAAAAGGTGCATAGTTTAAAATTGTTATTCTTAATGAAAAAATAAATGGATGTTCTCCACTAAATACTTGTAAATATTATTTAAATGAAATACTTATTCAATAATGTTAAGTTTAATTCATAATTCGGTAATTTTTTTAATTTTGAAAAACATTTCAAATAAAAGAAAACTTTTGTTTTAAACTAAAATTTCTTCGGTTAAAATATTTACACCACAATTATTTATAAAGTATATTGTTTTAGAATGAATAATTATGCGAAGTTTAAATTATGAAGAAAGACGTATGTTCATTATACGTTACATTATGTTCTTTTATAAAGGCAGTAAGGTATTGTGATGTTAAAATGCATATGCACATTTACTATAAAATTATAAAAAAAATTTATTCGAACATAAACGAATATTTTTTCGTTATACCAAAAACCAAAAATTTTAATTTTATATTGCAAAAGTGTGAAGCTTAAAAAACCATTTGCGAACCCATTTTGGTTATTTTATTTTTAATTGAAAAGGTTTGGAAAAAAGTTATTGTTGATAAATTTTTTTTTTCAAAAATAAAACCGTCTAACAATAACAATAGTTTTTAAAACAATAAATTTTTCTTTACAAAATTCAAGAAAACTTTAAACAGTGAGAAAATTAGAATGCCACAATTTTCTCTCATTTTTGTTCAAAAAGTATTTTATCTCAGGCAAAAACTTTATAAAGTTTTTAAAGAATAACTTGTTGAAGAAAGTACAAAATTTTATCTTTGAACTGGTTTTTTCATTACCGAATATTTATTTTTTTTTTATAAAATGTATACAAAATTAATAACTATGTATGTAATGTAGCTAATGACGAACATTCCTAATGTAATGTAATTAAAGTAAACAATACTAATATAAACAATGATTGATAAGACATACTATTTTGTAATTTTGTTGCAAATTCCGTTTAATATTAGTTTAATATTATTAATTAACTGAAATTTTTAAACGAACTATGATGGTATGTTTTTTGCAAGCGGATTTCGTTAAAAAACATTGTAAATAACAAATACATATATGTATCTTAATTTAAAATTAAATCAATAAATTTTTAAAGCAAAACTTTGTGTCATTGTAAAGGAATTGTTTTAGTAAAGTCAAAAGAAAGTTGGTTAGCAAAACGCGTTGATCGTTTTCGAAACAACCAAACGGTTTTAAACGAAAATTTGGAGGACAATATTTTAATATGCTATATGGAGGCTTATATTTTATTACTTAGTATTTTTTTACTTCCCATAATTAAATACAAAAAGAAAATATATTGATATATTAAAAATTTGTAATACCTCTTTGAAGGGCAAAATTCATCTGCGGAGTCAATGTTTTTTTTACTTTTCTGAAAATAAATTAATTGAAAAGTGAATTAGTTTTAAGAAATATATGTTTTTAAACGATTCTTTTGCATATAATAATTTTAAATTGATTTACGCGGAAGAAAAAGCTTTTAATCGCACTAATTTTCTTTATATCATGTACATATGTATATTTTGTATTTCCTTAAATAAAATAATTTAAAGAAACTACACATCGACACTCGATAAGAACGATACGCACGGCGACTAGTTAGTTGTTGTAGATGGAAATTTGTCAAACGGAATTTAGTGGAACATATTTAGTTGTCACGCGGTTTGTTAATTTATAAATAATCAAAAGCAGAGATAACTTTTTTTATAAACAAATGAACGTATTAAAATTAAATATTAACTTGCTGACTCGCAGTAGTGATAAGAAATGATATATGGGAGTGTATTTCATTTTTTTAATTGTATAGATAAGAGCATAGACATAACTTAATAACAAGATTAAAAATGTTGTGCGCCTTAATGTTATATATATGCATGTATGTCTTTTTTAGAGACACAAAAATCACGCTTAAAAAAATCACGAGACGGTGCTCATGTCGATACTACGTTAAATTAAGAAAGTAAGGATACTGCGGATTCAATAAATGATAAAATTCCTTGTAATGTAGAAGATGTGTATAATCAGTTGATCGGTGATGTGTATATAAATTACTTTCCCTTGAATTATTCATATAACAAATTCAATTTTCCATTGTCTTCAAAACCTGACGTTAAGAGTGTTAAAGATAGGTAAAATAAAAGAATTGAAAAATACGAAATCCTTAGGTTGAAGTAATATCCCGATTTTTGTAACGTCAAATATTTTTTCAAAAATATTAAATAATTCGTTTAATAAAATAATTATAAGTAGTATTTATTAATCGACTTGTTTTTGAATTTTCTAAAATTACGCTCATTTTTAAAAGAGGAAATAAGTTAGATACCTACATACATATACATACATATGTAATTTATATATGTACATATAAATTATCGACCTATTATACCCTGCACTTTGTGAAGGGTATATTAACTTTGGTATGGAGTTTGTAACTACTTGAAGGAGTCATCTGCGGTATGGACATATACATATATATAATCTTGCTCAGCGTAAAATTCTGCGTCGATTTAGACATGTCCGTCCTAAGTTCTTTATTTTGTGCCAAGGACGAACCCTATTGCAATTGGACTAATTCGGACAACGGGTTCGGGTAGCTGCCATACAACTCAAAGAGTTTATTTTAAATATTTCAAAAACTAATAAAGCTATAAATATAAAATTTTGTATACATGTGTTCAATTACATTCTACATATGCTCTAAAAATTTTAATAAGATAGATGCATCTGTTTGGGTGGCTGCCATCCAAAAGCGAATTTTTTATATTCGGAAAAATAATAAAGTCAGATTCATGAAACTTGGCAGTTGTGTGTCCAATTATAGGTCAGATATATTTCTGAAGTTTTAGTGGAATTGCTTGACAGGCTCGAGTAGCCCCCATACAAGTCCAAAAGCTTATTCTAAATATTTGAAAAAATAATAAAGTCAGATTCATGAAACTTGGCAGTTATATGGCCTATTATAGATCAGATATATTTGCGAAGTTTTAGTGGAATTGCTTGACAGGTTCGGGTACTTGCCATACAACTCTAAAAGCTCATTTCAAATATTTGGAAATATAATAAAGTCAGATTCATGAGACTTGGCAGTCTTGTGTCCAATTATAGGTCAGACATATTTCCAAAGTTATGATGGAATTTCTTTACAGATTCGAGTAGCTTCCATGCAAGTCCAAGAGCTTATTCTAAATATTTGGAAAAATAATAAAGTCAGATTCCCGAAACTTGGCAGTTGTGTGTCCAATTATTGATCAGATATATTTGTGAAGTTTTTGTGGAATTGCTTGACAGGTTCAAGTACTTGCCATACAACTACAAAAGCTAACTTTAAATATTTGGAAAAATTATAAAGTCATATTCATGAAACTTGGCAGTCGGGTGTCCAATTATAGGTCAGACATATCCGTGAAGTTTCTATAGAATGGTTTCACAGGTTCGAGTAATTTCTTTACAATAAACGAAAGGTGCAGGGTATAAATCGACTGAAACGTTTTTACTTGTTTTAATTTTACTTTTGCAAAATTTTTATTTTTTTTGGGCTATTTTAACTTCGCTTTTGCAAATTAAAAACTTTAGTTTTAGTTAAGCTATTATTTAGTAGGATAGGTGATTATTTACGGGGTTTCCTGAAGGGAAAATGGCTACCTCAAGTGCTCTAGCCGACGTTGTTGAAGTTATGTCATAGGTCAAAACTTAGAACACCACAAAAAGTTTGCAGGTTTATTTTTCGATTTGCAGAAAGCATTTCATTCCTTGAATTTTAATACTTTTTTGCATAAATTAAATAGAGAATCGACAGTAATATAAATCATTCAACGACTGAAACAACAAATGCAACGTTTATATATAATGTTATTTGACAACATAAGGGTGTCCAAATAACACCATACATAAACGATCTAAAGTTCTGTTTTGGGGTTTTTGCTGTTCTTGATACCATTAATTTAGAAAATAGTATAGCTTAGGGATTAAGAGCTACTTTGATATAACTTTTTCAGATGAGTAAAATTAAGATAAATTTTTCCAAGACAAGATTGTTGATTTATCAGCGTTAACGTCGTATTGCTTTAAATAAAAAAGTCAGTATAAAAATTGCAGAAATTTCCGTAGAAGAAATCGAATCAGTCGTTTTCTGAAACAGTTTTTGATAACAAATTAACCTGTAATTTAAGTTTGATTAACTTGTAACTAGATTAATGTGGGTGTATTTTGTTAAAATTATTGTAGGGCCACTCATCCTAGTAATCATTTAAGAGGAAGTAGTGCTATTTTAATTAAGAACACAAAAAAATAAAGAAGAATCAATTCTAGGAACTTCTTTTTCTAGAAGAGGCACTTAGGCTCAACTTATTACCGTTAAAATTGAGTCTATTAAGAATATTGCCTACTTGCGGGTGGAAATCGATTCTTACAAAGAGCTATCTATAATGCCAAACATATGGACTGTTGTTTTGGAATGACCGCAATCAGTGATAGAGAAATAAGGAAAACTATCCGACCAATTGGACCTAGAGATGCCAAAAAGATCTCAGATCTTATTGACTTTTTTATATTCAAGAGGATTTCATCAAGTTTTTTGAATTTGGAACATAGTTTTATTTTTCATTCGGATCACTTTGCTGTATATTAAACCTTGGTGAGCAACTGGTTAAAAAACGAGGGTCAATCCACTTTTGTTAACTGAACCACAGATTGGGTAAACTTCAAACAGGACATTATTAAAAATTGAAATTTAAACGGGAAACTACAGAAAGGTCAATTAGACTTCGAAGTGAAAGGTTTTATTAAATTAATACGGGAAGGCACCTGGAAAAGCTATGTATATATAATTCAAACCCGTATCAAGTAATTATCCTAAAACTGTAACTGATTTATTATTACGAAAAAAAATTAAACGATTGTGAAGATTTTTTGAAACACTCAAATGAAAATTAGAAAATTTAAACTTAGTATCATATAAAAGAAAGAGTACTAAAAACCTGGTAAAGCAAATCTACTCTTGAAAAAACCAGATGGGCCATGAGTAAAAGACAATAATCATAAAGATGAAATATTTTCCGATAATTTTTTGTCCATTTTAAATTAATTCTGTCAAGCAATAAAATCGCCTGAATCAATTAAAGTTCCAGATTTCGATCTTATTATTGATGAGATAATAAGAGAATTACCGAAAAAGGCATTTATATTTTTGATATGTTCCTCATGCTTGCAAAGTAGGGAAAGTTGTTATGATAACAAAGCCAGGTAAGCCCTCAAATAAGACAAAGTCATATAAGGCCGATACTTCTGTTATCAATAATATCAAAACTTTTTGAAAAATCGTTTTTAACAAGGTTGGTGCCGATAATAGAAATTAAAAAAAATTATTCCAATTATTCAGTATTCCCCATATTATACGTACAAAATAATTAAGTCTATATGAACATATAGACTTAATTATTTTGCACATATAAAGTTATGGAATTGTGCTAAGCAAACACATATCAACAAAATACGTGCTTCGTGATATGGTGACTGCTTCCTAATATGTACGCAATAGTAACATTTATAGGGATTTGGGTGTTCCTGAAGTAAGTGGAGAAATAAGGAACTGTGTCATGAAACATAGAGAGTATTTTATAAATGCTATATTATTCCTACGATGCCGCAGAAGGTTTTGGAGGAACTTGCTCTCATCCTAATATGGATGTTTTTATGGGATCTCAAAACAATGGAAAGGGTACTAGATGATCATTTTAGAGCCACTCTGGAGAGGGGCTCTCCTGTGCAAAAAAGGTAGTTCGCTTATCAGGTGGGAAAATCCATCGAGACGGCCCATGGGAGTAGATCACGCCTGCGGCGGCAAAAAAGAATATCCCGCCATCTACACTGGCAATGTGGCCATGTTGAATTCTCGAATAGCTACGGGTGAATATTGATAAATTAAAAATAATAATAAGTAAACACATAAAATACTAATAAAATAATAATAAATAAACACATAAAATACTAATAAGTAAACACATTTCCATTTTTTCATTTTGTAGTATGGTATTTGTACTACTCATGTTTTTAAATGTTTTTTTAGGAATGTACATAATAATACATCCAGATGGATAGGAGACACAGGAAAGTTCTGTTCTGGTTAAATAATAATGGTATACTTATAAACTTTTAAAATTTGAAGACCATCCAAGCTAGCGTCTTAGAACAAAGTAACTGCAACTATCTGTTAAAAGCCGTTTCGAGATTAAGGTTAATATTATTAACTTAAGGTTAATATTATTTCCTGACATTCCTTCACAGTTTTTCTGTGTTAGAAGAAACAGGTAAATTTTAAATTTTTACAGAACTAATAATATATCATTGATTCGGAAACGTAAAAATTTTGTAACAAGGACTTCAAGTTTACTTTATTTCGGAGTAGTAAATTCTAAAAAAATTTGAATATTTAATTTTTTTTAATTTTTTATTAAAATTAGCTGCAGAGTGAAATGAATACGTGTATTTTTTTTTATTCTTTAATGTGTGTTAAAAATAATATGAATTTTTAAAAATTTAAGCCGCCGGTTTTTTCACAATTTTATTAACTTCAACTTTTTTTTAAAAAGTTCATTTACAGAAAATTTAGTATAATTTGCTATGGAATACAAATTTCGGAATACATATAAAATGCTCATTAAAATCGGATTGACCGAAGAAACTGAAATTATGCTGGCATTTTCGGGGGAATTTACAGTAAATTTTTAACAGTGGATGTTTGATTGTCTGTCAATTCTAATAGGTTGTCATTACTTTAACTGAATTTAAGTATTTTAGTTCTTTATAATAGATGTATACAGCTCACACTTAATGCACCTATACTTTAGTCACTTTCTTTTGCCGTCACTAGTTAATTTAATATAGATCCTTTCAGGATTTTTTCGGGGATTTGAAACACAAAGGGAAAAAAGTAACCAAACAAAAGTTAAGGAGATTTTCGAGACTATTTCGTTTTTAAAAATCTTTAGAGCGATATGTCACATGATTATGACAGCCTAGTACCTATCTACATTTGGTAGTGTCCCTGCCACTGCGGTATGTCACGAATAATATAGTGTTGATCCAAATTGATTGAAAACTCTTAAAGATCTAAAAACACAATAAACCTTGAAAAAATTACCTTGCCTTTACGAAATTTTTTCCTTTTACCATTTTCTTCCGATTTATCAAATTTTGAACTTCTATATTTCCTGCAATAAAAGAATATGAAAATATATAATTAACATAATTAAACATTGGTAAAACAAAAATGTAGAGTAAGTATGTAAATTAAAGAAAATGAGTAACTATAATATATTTGTGTAATATTACATTTAGGAGTAGTGTGAGAAGAATTATTTGGTATTGCGTATCTCGTTTTTCTAGAATGCAAGGCCGAACTTCTCATATATGCAAAACATGCATTTGCAATGGGCGACAAAAACAGGGACGCCATTAAAAACTTAAAAAAACCCTAAATTAAAAAAAAATTTTTTTCATCCAAAAAAAGGATTCCAAATTTTTTTTTTTATATCAATTTACAGCGAAATTAACTTGATAAAATGTACCATACACAAACATAATATTTCATTCTTAATAATATAAAAAATGTGCATGAAAAAAAAGTCAAATACGCAAAACCATAGACTCCTATAATGTACAAGATGCCTAATATTTTTGCGTATGTGTGTATAAAAAGTTTTTTGTTCAGAAAAAAGACTTTTCATTTCTTTAGTTAATGTCTTTATATCTAACAAGTCCCAATGCTCAGAGAGAAACTTGAAAGCATTTTATATGGGTTTTTTAAATCGAATGGCTATTTTTTGAGAGGAAATATTAAAATAAATTCACACTTATTATAAAGCAGGTGAAATTTAGAAAATATATTTGAAAAATCAAAAAAATATATTAATATTTTCATTTTAATTCATTCATATTTTCATTTTAAAATTCTTGAAGCAGCGGAAAAACAACAAGCGCAACCTTCGCCTTCAACGTTTTATATGTTACTGAAAGCATTTCATTATTTTTAAGTGAACAGCTTTTTTTTCTCATAGGGTAAGTTAACTCAAGATATGGGAAGTAACTGTGGTGTCAAATTGAAAATATAATTAATGAAAGATAATTATTAAATATTGATATAAATATGTAAAGAAAAAATTTGAAGAGGAAATTAGAAAATAATATTTAAAATACAATCAAATATTATTTTTTAAATACAAATTTTGTATACACTTCTAAATTTTACCTCTATTTGTAAGAAAAATTTTGAAAATTTAATATATTACCTAAGTAAAAAATATTTAAAAGGTTTTGGAAAAGACAATAATATATTTTTATGACCGGATTCGAATATCTTTTTTATTTTTGAAATAAATATTATCTTAGCAAATGACTCAAAAACTCAGGTAGAAACAAACAAAGATTGTAAAACGACAGGTAGAAGGTACTGATGTAAATTTTTGTCTGTTTGCGTTTATTATTAAGATTCATACACAGGCAGGGCCATTTTATAAATAGATTGCTCTTGTTTACCTGCTAATAAAATATAAAAGAAGAGCACAGGAAAAGTTTTGAAGCACTCAATATTACATGTTTGAAATAGTTTTAAAATAATTATTTAAAAAACAATTTATTGGAAGTAGGTACATACATATTTATTTTTAATAACTTAAAAACTAACTGAAATTATTTGAAACAATTTTATAAGTAACATATAAATAACCGAAATGAGATTATTCAAATTGTTGAAATGTGTCAACCTATATTACTTTTAATAACATTTTTGTTAGCCGACACTACTCAACTTACCTTATTGGGAAATACAAAATGTGCAAGAACAAGTAAAAACGTTTCAGTCGGTATGAACCGATTGAATTATACCCTGCACCTTTCATTGTTGTATAGCAATTACTCAAACCTGTGAAACCATTCTATAGAAACTTCACGGATATGTCTGACCTATAACTGAACACACAACTACCAAGTTTCATGAATCTGACTTTATTTTTTTTCCAAATATTTAAAATTAGCTTTTGGAGTTGTATGGCAGGTACCAAAACCTGCCAAGCAATTCCACTAAAACTTCGCTAATATATCTGATCTATAATTGGACACACAACTGCCAAGTTTCATGAATCTAACTTTATTACTTTTCCAAATATTTAAAATAAGCTTTTGGACTTGTATGGGAGCCACTCGAACCTGTCAAGCAATTTCACCAAAACTTCAGAAATATCTTTGACCTATAATTGGACACACAACTGCCAAGTTTTATGAATCTGGCTTTATTATTTTTCCAAATATTTAAAATTAGCTTTTGGAGTTGTATGGCAGGTACCCGAACCTGCCAAGAAATTCCACTAAAACTTCGCAAATATATCTGATCTATAACTGGACACACAACTGCCAAGTTTCATGAATTTGACTTTATTATTTTTCCAAATATTTAAAATTAGCTTTTGGAGTTGTATGGCAGGTACCCGAACCTGTCAAGCAATTCCACTAAAAGTTCGCAGGTATATCTGATCTATAACTGGACACACAACTGCCAAGTTTCATGAATCTAACTTCGTTATTTTTCCAAATTTTTAAAGTAAGCTTTTGGACTTGTATGGGAGCTACTCGAACCTGTCAAGCAATTCCACCAAATCTTCAGAAATATATTTGACCTATAATTGGACACACAACTGCCAAGTTTTATGAATCTGGCTTTATTATTTTTCCAAATATTTAAAATTAGCTTTTGGAGTTGTATGGCAGGTACCCGAACCTGCCAAGAAATTCCACTAAAACTTCGCAAATATATCTGATCTATAATTAGACACACAACTGCCAAGTTTCATGAATTTGACTTTATTATTTTTCCAAATATTTAAAATTAGCTTTTGGAGTTGTATGGCAGGTACCCGAACCTGTCAAGCAATTCCACTAAAACTTCGCAAATATATCTGATCTATAATTGGACACACAACTGCCAAGTTTCATGAATTTGACTTTATTATTTTTCCAAATATTTAAAATTAGCTTTTGGAGTTGTATGGCAGGTACCCGAACCTGTCAAGCAATTCCACTAAAAGTTCGCAAATATATCTGATCTATAATTAGACACACAACTGCCAAGTTTCATGAATTTCACTTTATTATTTTTCCAAATATTTAAAATAAGCTTTTGGACTTGTATGGGAGCCACTCGAACCTGTCAAGCAATTCCACCAAATCTTCAGAAATATCTTTGACCTGTAATTGGACACACAACTGCCAAGTTTCATAAATCTGACTTTATTATTTTTCTAAATATTTAAAATGAGCTTTTGGAGTTGTATGGCAGGTACCCGAACTGTCAAGCAATTCCACGAAAACTTCGCAAATATGTCTGATCTATAATTGGACACACAACTGCCAAGTTTCATGAATCTGATTTTATTATTTTTCCAAATATTTAAAATAAGATTCTGGACTTGTATGGGAGCCACTCGAACCTGTCAAGCAATTCCACCAAAACTTCAGAAATATCTTTGACCTATAATTGGACATTCGGCTGCCAAGTTTCATGAATCTGACTTTATTATTTTTCCAAATATTTGAAATTAGCTTCTGGAGTTGTATGGCAGGTACCCGAACCTTTGAAACAATTCCACTAAAATTTCAGAAATATACCTGACCTATAATTGAACACATGACTGCCAAGTTTCATTAATCTGACTTTATTATTTTGTCGAATATAAAAAATTTGCTTTTGGAGTTGTATGGCAGTTACCCGAACCGGTGCAGCTATTAGATTAAAATTTTTAGAGCATTTGTAGAATATAATTGGACACAAGTATACAAAATTTTATATTTGTATCTTTATTAGTTCTTTATTAGTTAAATATTTAAAGTAAACTCTTTGAGTTGTATGGCAGCTACCCGAACCCGTTGTCCGAATTAGTCCAATTGCAATAGGGTTAGTCCTTGGCAGAAAATAAAGAACTTGTGAAAGTTTGGTGTCGATTGCATTATTCGTTTTTGAGTTATCGTGCGATCGGACGGACGGACATGTCTAAATCAACGCAGAATTTTACGATGAGCAAAAATATATATATATGTCCATACCGCAGATGACTCCTTCAAGTAGTTACAAACTCCATACCAAAGTTAACATACCCTTTACGAAGTGCGGGGTATAAAAATAATAAGAAATATGACACGATCAGTGGCATTTAAAGAAAAAAACAGGAACGAAGCCAAAAATTCGTAATATTTCGTAAAAAAAATTGAGTATTAAGACTTGTTAGATGTAAAGACATTACTTTAGTCCACATATAAATTTCGTACGCGAAGGCTGTTTCGCTAAGCGGTAAAATAATTTATTTGTTGTTTAAAATTTATTTTAATTTAAATTTAGTGAATAATTATATTAATTGTTTGTGTTATTAGATAAAACGAGAAAAAAATATAGTTGACCTTGTCAACTCTGTGATACCCGTACGAATTTGTTATCCTATGTGCGAATAAAGATGCTATAACTGACTATGAAGTTACCGTATATTAATTTACGAAAATGTGTTTTTTAAAATATTGTTTGTGCCAAACTACTATTGAAGTTGTACGGCAGCTACCAGAAAGAGCCAAGAAATTTTAAGGAATTTTATCAAGCACATCGGCCCTACTAATATATTCGTTTGTGTGAAATTTCAATACCACAGCTTTTATAGTTTCTGAGATATAGCCAAATAAATTTTGAAGTTGTATGGCAGCTACCCGAACCGATACCCCGATCATGTCCAATTTAAATAGGGTTCTGGCACTTACTACTATAAATCATTTGTGAAAATTTGGTGAGCTTAGCTCAATTAGTTTTTGAGTTATCGTAGGGACGGACGGACAGACAAAGCTAAATCAACTCAGAATTTGATGCTGATGAAAAACATACACTTGAGTCTATATCTAAGACCGTTATTTCTTAGCGTTACAAACGGTAAGGCAAATTTAGTATACCCTTCGAACATACGTTCGTGCGGGTATAATGAAGATTTATAATTTATATTAACTAAATTTAGTTTTTTTTTCATAATATTTAGAATAAAACAATGGAAAATAGTACTAAAGTTTATTTAAAAAGAAAAAATTACTTAATAAATTAGTAAGATTCGGTGTACTTTTTAAAGTTTCTATTGTAATATTTAAACATAATATAATAATATATTTGATTACGTTAATATAAATATGG